AAGGACAGTGGTTGCACAGGTGTTGTATAGGGATTTCCCGCTTCTTGGCTAGAGAGATCTTGAAAAGATACTAAAGCCATCTTAGAAATTGCGTTGTTGTTGATTGTTTCTTAAAACTTGTTGTATAAAACGTATCTCAAGACTGAGCTCAAAAAACKTGTTGTGAACTGYTCGCAAAGCTGAACAAAGTGAATTACCCTGGAAACCATGAMTTCTTTTATTRCGTACGCGCGCGTGCACGTARAACCGCGCGCTTGAAATGATGTAATAGTTTGTGCAAAAATACAATATAACGGCATTTCTGATTGGTCATTGATAAATAGTTCATGAATTCATCATTTTCATGCTCGGTCACTGCGATTTTGATTTTTCAGCTTGTTGGACTCTGGTTGAATTGAGAAAATATTCCTGATTTGACTCAAATATAGCGGCCAGCAGGATTATAAATAAAATAACAAGACCCCAGCTGTTTTAAAGTTGTCATTTTCATTTCAAACAAATTATGTATGAATATTTTTTTTCTGTTATAACAGGTACTTTAGCTGCCTTATTCTATAACTAGCTTGTAAAATAAACATATTAACTGCATTTCTCACCTCAAGACTTGGTGCGATTGTTTCCTTGTTTTGTGTAAATCTTGTCCGAGACTTCCTCTATTCATATCAAACTTTGTAATAACTCTCATTTATATGACACGATCATTTCCTGTAGCCATTCCAAACAACCCATCAATTCTGCAGCTTTTATTTCCAACCTCCTATTAGATTGGCGATGTTCATCGTTTTCCGCCATATTGCTTTGAGTAAGTAAATACCACAACATGCAGGCCTTTCAACAAAAAAACAAAAACAAAAAAAAACAACACGTTTTTAACTTATATGTGTTGTTAATGTATTTTATGATGCTTGTGTGAAATTAGACAGAAAGGAAAAGCCATTTTAAAAATTGTAAAAAATCAGAAACGCCGACTAAGCAACTCAAATGTAGCATGCCTTTGTCGTTGTTTTGTTGTATTTTTTTGTCCATAGTTTCTTACCTCATTTCACTTTACCTTGCTTTAAAGTAATTCCATCATGTTTAATCTGTGTGCATNGTATCGAAGTATTCAGTAATGTTGTTTGAAATTGCTGTATATATATCGAAAGAAATTGAATTAAACTTGAACAGTTTATTGCTGAGGCTATTTGGTGAATAAGTATTAAAATGTCTGAACTCCGGCATTGCAAACCAGCGAAAAGTATTAAAATCTCACAGCGTCGCCTTGTTTTCTTCTTTATAGGTGCGTATCAGAGAGTCAACGTTCCTTAGCTCTAGCAATGCAGTTTTTATTCTTGCGTCTGCTTTCTGGCATCCCTTCGCCTGTTTTGGTTGGCGCCATGATCGACGCTACGTGTACATTATGGAATACAAAGTGTAACGTTAATCAAAACTGTTTGAACTACGACTACAGCAAACTGGGAAGGATTATAGTGACAATGGGAGCTCCTTCACAATGTAAGATGGACTTTTTGTTAAACTTAAAAGTTTTTGCATACTTCTTTTATAGCTTGTCAAGTGAGCATGCTTTGACTACATGATATAGCTTCAAGTCTCAATGATGGTAATATTTTTTTGTATATTTTTACAGTTTTATCTCTGATTTTCTTTGGATTGTCTTGGCATTGCAGTAAAGACAGCACTGATTCAACTACTATCGCTGGCAAAGCAGGCATTGAAAACAAAGGCGCAGACTTAAATGACAACTTAGAACTGAACAAGCTTAATGATCGCCGACCTCGTTCAGAGTCCATAGTAACATCCTTCTGAATAATCGAGACGCCATTGTAACAAAGAACTTTTATTATTTCGTACGTATACAACACGCGCCAACTCCCAAGCGCGTTCCCAGGCCCAGTGTGAAAATCCCTGTTTAAACCACAGGGTACCCACGAGATAAAAATATAAA